CATGGACTATAGCCCACCAAAATCGCTCAAAATGACCCTTTTTTGACCAAAATGCATGGGCTATAGCCCACCAAAATCGATGAAAATGACCCTTTTTTCATCAAAATGCATGGACTATAGCCCACCAAAATCGCTCAAAATGACCCTTTTTTCGTCAAAATGCATGGGCTATAGCCCACCAAAATCGCTCAAAATGACCCATTTTTGACCAAAACGCATGGAGTTGAGGACACCAAAATCGATGAAAATTACCCATTTTTGACCATATCCATGAGTATGTTACCTTCAAAGTGACCCATTTTTTGATCAAAATGCATGATATTTGGAATGTAGGATAATCTAAGGGAGAGTTTGCGACAGTTAAAATTGAAAAGGATATATGTGACGTTAGTCGTACATATATTAATTTTTTTATCAAAGGAGTTTGCAAAGTTGTTTTTCTTTTTAAAGTATAGCTCGGGTCCGCAGTAATTGGCTCAAACTGTTGCGGTGTCGCTGCCCCTGATATCATTTATTATTTGTTGTTATGATATCTTTTGTTGATTTTGCTGTTCTTGTTTATGTAATTTGGTCAAAGATAATAAAATAAAAATAAAATTAAATAAGCGTATACAATAAACTACATAGATATATTTCAATATTGTAATTTTTTAAATAGCTTTTTTTGTGCTCAGGCCTCTCGTTGATAACAAGCAGAAGAGACCGGCTCGAGGGTTAGGGTTGTGTTTTGAGAAAACTTCCCATGGAAAATCCTTCAAATGATTCCGTGTCATGAGTCCTACATCCGATAGGAGACCCAATCAGGTTATATGCTGCTTGTCCAAAGTACATCATCAACAATGTCAGGAAATGTGTTATGATAGTTTTGGGTGCTGGATTTCCTGTGGAATTTATAAAAAAAAAACATTAGTGTATAATACTCCATTTTCGATATCTTATTTATGCAGCTTTAACCTCGAAAGCATGTAATAATTTATTCAGCAGAGATGCTAGGGTGCTTTTGTAATGCGAACACTCAAATTTATGCTTGATTGAAGCTAAGCTTGCAGAAAAGAGAATTCGTATTTCATCGCAACTCCATAGTCTGGTCTGGTATCTGATGTACCTCAAGTAAGGCATGAAAGACGTACCTTGTAAAATAAGGATGTCACACATACTCCAGACTCCCCTCCACACATTGACAACAGATACTCCAAGAAAGTACACGAAGACATGTTCCATTAAAACAGCCGTACCGCTGGACACGTTTCTTGCTTTTGTTTTTAAAGGTTCAGCTGTTATATAACCGATAATACAAACCCCACAACCGACACTAAACGATAGTATACTGTTATTAAGACCGCTTATGCCAACAGTAATATAGTCCAATATTGACCAAGTACCCCTCCAATAGGTTACTACTAACGTACCTACCACCATTACCGTCAACACACCATTACATATCGTTTTACCAATTCTGTTTTCATTGTTCTTAAATCCAACTGTTTTTATGGTTGGGGAATCGACATAAAAATCATTTATTAAGAAACCTGGTGGTGATACGATGGAACTTACAGTCTTCGTCGCTGATAGTATTGCAAAGGCTATGCTATGACATACAAGGTAGCTCATCCATGTCATAGTCGTAGTGTGATCAAGTATTAACCAAATACCTCGCCAAAAGGAAATACAACTAAGTGACATCAAGTAGACCGAAGCCCTCCAGATAATTCGCGATAAAGTCGTCTTGTATGTTATTTGTGGGTGGATTATGACAATAATGAACGATACTGTGAAACCAACTACAGTGCATATAATACCGCTAATGTCAGAATGTGATGGGAAGACGTAGATATCCATTAGTTTCCATGTAGTTCGCCAGTATAGCACCACTAAAGGTGCAATAAAAATACAACCAACGAGTATATCGATAACACGAAGTACATGATGTTTACAAGAACTGCCTTCGTCCGCCATATGTCAAGCAGGGACAAACAGGGTGATATTTAGTATCGTGTCATGCAATCACCATATTTGGCTCATGCAGTAATTAATGAATTGTCTGCGTATCAACGGAAATCCGTCAAAAAAAATTCCTTTCTCTGTATTTTGAATAATAATAATAAATTGTTTTTGCCAAAACCTGTTTATTTACATATAGAAAAGCAATTGTTATGGTTCAATGGTCTTAATTACAATATGAAGATAAAGAATATATACATCCTCAAAAATTGTTCTGCACACAATCTATCATCAACTGGACTCTCAAAATGAGTAAAAAAAAACTAGAAAAGACTCCGTAACGTCTCGAAAGGAACAAAGAGTCTCTAGAAGGGTCGTAAAGTACTTGATAGACCCCTTAACGGCCATCGTGTCCCTGTAACGTCTTTATTATCTACATCAAGAAGCATTACTGGCTCTCGTGCACAAATCCTTGATGGATAGCAAGGGCAAGAATACGATACGGCTGCACGAACCGGGTCATTTAGCGACGCTTTGTCAGTCTGTGGTACTACTGTGATATGGACCACTGGTAGAGGTGTGGGACCATATTTAGGTGGTGCGTCCAGCAGGTCCCCTGTAGTTTTCTCCCAAGCACATCCCCATAGATAAATACCATATACAAATATCCCCTCTACTGGAGGCTCGCGAAGCTGTAAGGCAAGTCAATGAAAAGAGTTAGACATTAATCCTGGACCAATCATTGAACTAGTTACACTCACGTGATCTTTATCTCTACCGGTGATCTCAGTCTGGAATATGTAAGGCTCTGTACTTGATAACTTTCCTTCATGATGTCGAACTGCTTCCTGTAACAACACCACCCTGTTATCATCATCATCATTATCATCACATCAACTTGCAGGAAACTAACCTGTTTTATTATGGACAGCAGACGGCGTGGATTGAAGAAAGCACCAAGCCAGTACGCAGGTACTCGATCACGACCCTAAAATACATGATTATTGTTATCGTTTGCCATACCCTACCGCCCCTAGGTACAGCCTGTACCCTTCCCTAATAGTTACCTGTACAACGATTCTATCGATATGAGAAAACCTGTTTGACAGGTCAGTAAACCATGAGCCAAGACTCCACGTGGGAGGAGGGGTAACATCACCACCCAACGCCGTCCATTTCTCAGGGATACGTGAATGGTAGAGATCGTCAGCGACTTGCAGTACATCCTGACTCAGCTGATCACCATATGCACCATCATCAGTGGTATTCTTGATGGTCTGTTGATAGTTATAATATAATAATATATATACCTTCCTACGCAAGCTGTAATTGGCCAATGACCGTTCTTTATTTCATCCATTATTGCACACTGATATTGTCAGTAATGCAATGTGAAATCTTTCTTACTTGTAATGTCTCGCGTACAGTTGTTAGCAGCCGTGACATACAATCCACCTCGGCCAGCACGAACAAGTTGAAAGGCGTCGCTCCACCAGCTTTCTTCATTCGTTCATAAACACTCTCCTAAAACACAAAACAAGACCTTCAGAATTACTACTATTCTCATTATTATATATTATGCCAAACTTACCTTATTCCATATCTTTGGCAATTTACTAAGCAAAGAAATGCAAATTTCGTTCAGCTCCACCTCTTTTCGACTTTTAAATGCTACTAAACTGGCACTAGCAAACACACCAGCCTCGGCCAAGCACAATGCGCCACCACCGATAGCCTGGGCACTAGAACTGTTCAAAATGACGCCAGATGTAGTGGTGATGGCTGATGGGTCGCTGACTGCGTGTGTCAGACTATCTGTAGCAGCCATGTGATCCAGAAGAAGGTTTAATCGGGTAAAAACATACTGATGATCTGGCAGATGAGTCTACAATAAATAAGACATCGAGATGTCTGTCCATTTATCACCAAAAAGAGAAAATCAAAGTTCTAACCTCAGGTGATGCATGTAGCCCACTTGCTTCTGGTATTTCGAGAATATCACCTGGTATTGTTTCCATGGCAGCGAGGATGCCTGCTGACCTAACGTGACTACTAAAGAATGCTGGAGGTAGCTTGTACCGCGCTTCAAAGAGAAAGCATATCATTTAGTACTGCTTGTCATTTTTGATAAATATGGCCCATCGCAATCATTAGTCCACAAGAGGCTTGCGATTAAATAAATGCTTTAAACACTACGGGATTCCTGTCTATCACTTACTCTTAGCAGCTTCAAATTCTCTCTTTACGGCAGCTGGGCTGATCCAATAGTCAATCATAGCGCTCAGTCCCTGGCGGTCAAAGTCGTCACTGACACAACTACCGTATACAACCTGGTGAATGATTGGTGTTCAGCAACGTATATGATTATTGTATCTAGACTGATTTAAACAACACATACCTCTGTCAACATGTAGCGTAGACCGTTCCACTGTATACTTCGACCTCCTGCTCCTGGTGAGTCAGCAGACTCTTGGAACTCTCGTACAGCTAGATCAAGAGCTTGCTGTGTTCATAAAATCAGTAACAACATTGTATCTAAATATTGTCATTATGACTAACCAGTCCTCCTTCAACACACTTACCCATAATTTCCCAGTGCCTACGTTCTTAAAGTCATCAGGTTTATTCCATCCTGCCAACCTGTATCTACACCGTAACCGTACGGCACTGTGTAGCATGCATAGATTGTGAAGTAAGGGAGGCCATTCTGGTCTGTTACTGACACGTAGTAGTTCGTTATCAATCCACGATAGGGACCGCTGAAGACTCTCTTTGGTGCTCTATTGATAAACAAGACACTCTACATAACCGATATAATTGTCGTCCCTACTAAGGAATTTAGTGTAATATGGTTTCACGAGTTTTTTTTGCCTCACGTTATGTGATGTTCGTGAATGTAGGCCGAAACAGTAAATTTGGTTATCATATCGAGGTCTATCAAAAGAGATATATCGTTTACCAATGGTGAATCAGCAACCAATTTTACAGCTGTCTGCAGCAGTGACGACGATATGTCTGGGTTGGGTAGGACAGACACCCACAGCCTGAACTCAGGGTCAACTGACTTGGTTTCATGCATGAACGAATCAAGAGCAGCAAGAAGACGCGGTGTATTGTGTGCATTGTGAAGGAGAACCCAGCTTCCCTGATAAAAATCATTATAACTTTAATAAGTTAGACTGAGACGTGCGAGAAGTAAAGCTGAAGAAATGAAGAAAAAGAAAGACGGGATGAAGAATGAATGGGTGAGACAAAGAGAACAACAGAGAGGCGCAGAGGTAAGAAGGAATGGAGAGGGAGTGACAAGAAAGATGAAAAGAAAGACTTAAGGAATTAAGGAAAGTAAGTAAAACCAGCAAAAGAAATTATTACCTGCACCATAGATTTATGTACGAGCTTTCTCGCCATTCGTTCTTCATTGCCACCTGAATTGCTAAGAGCCACGACGTGCAGCTCAACCTGGAAAAAAAAAACCATGTGTAGACAATACAATAACCAAGCTCAATTCATACTGATGGACGTACTTGTTTCTTTTGAGCCCCGTCAATAACAATCTTTTCCACCATATTGGCTTCACGTGTGTAAAGCAGTACTACTGGTCTGCGGCAGTCACTTTGACGATAAGCCGTTGGTAGGTCTAATGGCTGGTCTCCCGTGTATCTATTGACAACAGAAACCTTACCCATGAGTCACTGCAAGTAATAATGCAGAGCAAGTTTTACCAACCTTTTCCCCAAGACAGATGTTATAAAACACGTGGCAGCCGGTAAAAGTCTATCACCACGCAAAGCACGAATCACCATGAACCTTTGAATGGGCGTGTATCTGCAACATAGCACAGTTAGAAAATATACATTTATAGATTTTATTTTTTGTCCCTTGATACGTACTTGTCATCCAAACCATCGGGAAGAGCGACGAGTTCAGGTTTCTCGTGTTCTGTTATTTGCCGCCATTGGGTCTCTCGTCCATCTTTAGCCATCTTGTCAAATGGATCTTGGAACCATTCAAAATGCTGGGCCAATAGCTAGAGGTTGAAAACAAGGACTTTGTTGTGAAAACAACCTTTACTGAATTGGCACAGTATTAGTTGAATAGTAGAATTATTGGAATAACAAGAGTGCGCATGAAACGAGGTATTTTCGTGCAATCATCAGGACACATGCACGTGAAGCTTCAGCCCGATTATCAGATCGACGGTTAAGTACCTGTAAGTTAGAATACTGTTCGTCAAGCATCCAATCAAAAGGCTTTTTTCCTTGAGTACGGGATGCTGATTCTGTTACCAACATTGGGTTAAGAGCTGCTTTCACTGTTGCCCCATATGAAGGATGAATTAGAAACTCCCTATCACCAGCACTCAGACGGTTAGCTGCGTCTTCAACCTACATAAATAATAATATCTTGAATGTGTCACCATGATGTCCGAGAGACTAGAAACTGAGAGAGACTGGGACTAGCCACAATGCAAATGTACCAAGTAAACATTATACGAGGGAAAATACCTCGAGTGCTGTCAATAGAGTAAACAAAGTTCTGTCTTGTTCAAAAAGTGATCTTGATGTAGTGTAAAAGGCACTGTATCCAAGACGTTCAACTACAGCTTTCACGGCAGTTCTGAAGGCATAAATCATTTATTAACAAATATACTACACACTTTAACAATATCAATGTTCAATACCTTTCAGAGTGGGTTATCGCGGCGTCAAAGACGACAAGGAATTGTGATAGTGACGTCTGGTAGGCGGGGTTGATCTTTGACATCACACGTGACACGTCAAACATGACAGCGGCTCGACGAGCGATTGGTCGATAGCCCTCACGTGACTGTAATATGGAATTCTCAATCCCTCTCGACCGCATCTCGCTAGAGTGTAAAGCATACATTCAGTAATTGTGGTCGATGAGTGTGGCATAGTTATGACGCACCTTTCAAGCGTTTCGTCGTGGAGTCGTTTAATGGATGCGAGTTTCTTAGTGGCTGCAAGGTTATACAATAAACGATGACCGCTGCCCAGACATGATAGAATGTTCTCTTCTGCATCATGAAGACCCTCCATTAACGTCACCAATTCCTACATGGCCTCCACTACATTAGTAACTACTTTTTGTCTAAGTTTGCGAGTGAAGGAGGAGGGAAAGAGAGGGGAGGCAGTATGGTCTTACCGTGATGACTTGCGTTCGTGTTTCTTGCATTCTTGGTTTTTCGAGCCTCAAGAATCGATCAAGAAACATTTCCTCTAATCCTTCACGTGACTGAACGAACTCTACAACATTAACGTGAGCTGCCAATCCTGCAGGAACCGAGTCGCCAGGAGAAGTAGTTGCGAATACCAACCTGCAATTATAAAATAACTTAAAGTAACCAAACAAGAAAGTATATAAACCAAAACTAGATGAAATCACTAAAATACAGCTGTTGAAACCATACCTAAAGCCTGGCTGACATTCGATTTCATGTTCGCTGATCTGTAATTACGATAAAGTGTTCGGTAAACACACATAAAACATCAATTATCTTTAACCAAGTAATCAATTATAAATTACCATCAGTTTAAATGGTGAAGTAGACGTTAAAAATCGTGATCTGTTTTGTAGAATGTGGTAAAATCTGTTGTCAGACTTGAGTTCATCAACATCGACATCAGTAATGAGAAGAGTGGTGCCGTCCATAAGACACGTCTCAAGATGACCTCGTAACTCCTAAAAAACAACATACCAAATGCATACTTCTACCATAATAACTAGGTTTTTTATGTCTTTCGAACGGCAACGATTTAATATCTGAATTGGACTTGCTTCTTTGAAGCAGAACGTTATCAAGTAAGGTAGAGTTCTATCACATCTATTTTTTGCGATCTATCGATCATGATGTCAGTTATTTGACGAGGATTATTACCTTGTATTTGACGGTAGTTGTCTGCCCCAGCATTGTGTTAATCCATGTTATCGCAATCCTTTGTGGATCGCATAGCAATGGCCATGTGTCAGACGACTTTTCTTGCGATGCGATGCACATGTTATCGAGAGACAGGGGGTCCGTGGGTAGACTCAGATTTTCCCACTTCTTCAGCATCACCTGAAAAAGCAAATCACTTTTAAGAGTCTACTGCTTGTATTACATATCTATTATTATCTATTATAGTTTATTTTTTGGCTGCCGTGCCCATCTATTTACATTTTTGTGTGCACTAAGTGTGTTATCTCAGTATAACGAACCTTCCCTTTTAGGAACTCTGCTAACGTCAAGCGTGAAAACAAATGTCTTTGCTGTATTGGAAGACCATTTTCACGACAAACTTGCATGAAGTACTTGCCCATTCGTTTTCTACACGGATAATGGACAATAATTATACAAAGTCAATAATCACTATATTGAAAAAACAAGAGACTCTTTGCAGATCATGTCAATAAAACTCTATCTAAGGAAAAAAACAACTCTTAGGAGAGACATATAGTAATGTACAGTACCTTTGATCAATACCCATAGCACCACAATAGGTGAGGAAGGCTGCAGCTGCGATACTATTGGCCAGCAGCACTTCAGGCGAAGAGTACTCTTGTACGTATGATTTCCAATCTTTTTCTATGAGCTTCAAACTGTAAAATAACAATTAGATCCATCATTCTTTCCCATAAACCCACGATGTTTACTTACCTATGCAGCAGATCAGTAGCCGCTTTGAGACGTTCACTGCACGACTTCACATCATTGGCAAGGTTATGTTTAATAACAACTGCATCGTCATACTCATCTTGCAGCTTCTTGACTTCCTGTTGTAAACCAGGAAGATCTGCTTCTGTTAGCTCTGGTTCTGGTTCAGCTTCGTCTTCCTGGACAAACAAATTATGATAAAGAGCAATCAGTAAACTAATTACCACAGTCAGCCAACCAACTCTTCAATTAGTGAAAATATTGTTGGCCATTTGGAAACAAGTCTTATACCTTTTCAGGAAGAGCCTGTTGTTTTTCGAGTTCTATTTCAGTTCGTCTCTCATCCTCTTCCTTTAATCTCAGCAATTCTTCCAAGTATTCCATGGCTTTATTGTAAGGTTTGTAGAGACGAGTGTAGTCTACTAGAGCAATGATATATTCAACCAGCACAGCAGCGTCTTCTGATGAATATTTGGCTGCAGCAATGGTGATACCTTGAGCTTTACGTTCTAAGTAAACATAACAACAACAAATATTAACACAAAAAGCATATCTAATGATGGAAACATCATCCGCCAACAATTTCAATAGGCAATACTAAAGATTGTATGGTTTACAGTACCTTGTAAAGTAGTCATTTGTCGACCTGAAGGTGGTGCTACATATGTACTGGCACTGGCACCAGCAGCAGCAGAATTCAAATCATCACTCACGCCCAGTTCCCCTTCACTATTAGTCACTAGGAAGGACTGGACACCAGCAAGGGTATCATCGTTAAGGCCATTCTTCCATGGCACGTGATGCAATGACTCAACAAACTTTTGTGAATCATTCATGATTTGTTGGATGGTTTTCCAGGATGTGCGGTCGACCTTACCATCTGCAGACACTCCAAGCAGGTTAACTTGTGTAGTTGAGCCTCTTGCCTGCTCCTTCATTCCTCTTCGTCTCAAAGTTGCTGAACTTGCTCTTGACATCTCATCAGACCCTCCCGCCATAGACTCACCCTTTCTCTCCCTACTGACAGGAGAGGGAAGAGTACCAGCACCACCAATACCAGCTGCAAATTCTGGACGTCCAAGAAGTACCATAACCATGACCATGACCATACCAGTCATTTGTGGTGGGCTTTGGAAGGCGCGAAGTCTTTCAATAAGAGAACGGTCAACCTTAGCTTGCCAACGGTACACCTAGTCCACACGATTATATTTTTTAAATATTTAATCAATATTGTTTCATACACCACAGTCTTACTCACCAATTGCTCAGCCTTTTTCAGCTGAACTTTAGCTTCTTGAACACTGACTTCAGCTGTAGCAATTTCCTCAATCACTTTGATCTTTCTACTTTTCATTTTTGCGTTTTTAATTTTTTCAAATTCTTCATCCAATTCGTCTTCTTCATCATCATCTAACAGTGTGTTGTCATCCACTTCTATCTCATTATCAATCATGGCGGTGAATGCACTAAGGGTCGAGCTACCAATACCAAGTTTGGCTTTTAGTTTCTCTAATGAAGTAGCTTTACTTGTCAGTACTTTAAGCAAATCAGCTGAGTCAACAGTTGCTACTTCAAGTTTCTCTCTTGTCTGAGTTATGACATCTTTGATCATGATAGCATCTTTACGCGTTTGATCCAGCGTTGCCAACGCACGACTGAAACATAGAAATGTATACTGCTATATATGAAAACAAATAAATCCTTGAACAATGCATATTGGTGATTACCTTAGCTTGTCTACCTGTCGTTTAGTCTCCAATCTCTTAGTTCTAAAGACATGTACAAAACAATGCATAGCCTGGATATACGTGGTAGGTCCGATGCCTATCCTACCAAGTGCTATACCGTCTGATGATTGATGTAAAAGGTTTATTCGCTCAAGTAACAGGTTCTTTGATAACGGCAAGTCTGCGTCCTCATCACCAGCGGAAGCTGTACGGATAGCTATGTCACTCCCAGACCACGGGATCTGATGACATTCTCGTAACACATAACCATGAATTGTAGAGAGACTGGATACGACTCTTTGCCTGGAAACATCAATAAAAAGCTTTTAGACAGCAGAGTACTATCGTATATGTGGATTTTTCATTATTATCAATACTAGTACTTAAAATGGTTACTATAGTTTATACCTTGCTTGTTCGTCAATTCCATCCAATACTTTGTGCTTGGCTAGGTAATGCGATGCCTCGCCCTCCATAGCATACTGTGGCCAGTCTTTGACCCAATTTGTCTGACAACCATAAAGAATACCTGGAAAGCATTTGGACCCATCTCGTAGAAGTTTGTGAGTGGGTGGAAGACACAAGACTATGTGCAGGTTGGCTTTGACACGAGTGATAAAAAACTTCATAGGATCGGCCAGGAAACTAGAAAACTTGCGCTTGATGGCTGGCATAAGTGCCTGGAAACATAATCAATTGTTGAGTACACAAAAGCTTTATGGAAGATGTCAATGTTAACATACTTGCAGCAAGCTTTCCAGTTCATCTTCAGAAAACAATGGCGGGTATTCACCGCTGATGAGGAGACTGTTTAGGGCATCCAGATAGGTGTCATCTTTGAGATCCGCTGCCTGGAACACATACAAAATATATCATGCAATCATGATAGTGGTGACAGTAAATGACGAAAATACCAACCGTAAATAGAATTGTGGTAGTTTTGCCATCACAACCAGCCTGTCTGACAGCAGCACGAAGACCATCAAGGAAAGAGTTTGGATACGAACAGTCTATAGGATGAATATGGTAGTCCAGCATATATAAAGCCAAACGAGCCAGTGAAGCTAGGTGTGTCCCAATGGCTCCTACTAGAAGTGCGTTACCTCTACAAAGACCGATACATATTAAATTCCGTACGATAATAAGTTAATGATAAATTCCTTGCCAAACCTGTTCTTGTAGCTGAGAATCCTGTGTAGTCGTACAACATTGTACATAACGTGTGAGGACACCATAAGATCTAATCCCTCATTGAATTCATCATTGTACCGTCTAAAGTAATTCTGGAGACGTTGTGAGACTTCATTGATGTCATTTATCACTTGCAATGTGTTCTGAAAGAGTGATCATCATGAGATTTCACGTGATATTAAGGTGATGGGTGGTGGGTCCATACCTTTGGTGCTGAGCTCCTTGTTTGAGTGACAGGACGAGATGAATACGACGTAGTTTCCAGGGGGAACGTGATAAACAATGGTGGTGGGCTATTGGCAGGAAGGGCAGGGAAATACTGGAAATAGCAACATAGGTTAATACACAAGAAACTCAAATAGGTTATACAAGGTAAAAAATAATGGAGACAATTAAAAATGGAATATGACTAGAGATCTTTTAAGACGTTCGAAAGAACACAGATATAACACACACAGAGCAAGTATGAGACCTCTTTTAGGATATTTTTCAGGTTCTTGTCAAACCACTTGATATCAGATGCCCTTGTGATGCGGTCCTTAAACACTCTTAGTACTTCATGTTGCCATAACAAAGCTATGTAGTCATCATCAGCTCGCATTTCTTCAGAACAGCTTTTCAGACCCTAGAAAGAAACCAGCAATGAGTTCTGTAACTAGTTGTGATGGAAGCCAATTGTTATTTACCTGGAATACCCTGGTAAGATCTCTAAGGTTAAACTGGTAATGGTACCGCCCAGGAGTCGATGAGGGTCTTAATGCGTCCTGGACACTATTCAACAATAAGCATGATGCTCTAACAATCTGTTCATGTAATTCTTGCGGGAGACCCATTCCTTGATTCTGAGCCATGTTAGCCTACAATGGTAAAGTCTTTATGTCACTCACATCACCTCATCCTTCCACCATAACACAAAAAAGAAACATACCTCAAGAACACATTGCACAATAGTAAACAAAGAATCCGGAGAATGTGATGGCAGATGGAAAACTGCAAAATGACGCTGAAATCATAAGAATAGGATGTAGTTACTTCATGAATGATCTTTAATATCCAATACGTATTGTCATACTTTCAATCTCTCTGGTATTTCTTGCTTTCTCTCACTGGTCCCTGAAGAAACAGCCATGGCTGTTGTTAGCACAACACCCTCCAAAACACGACGATCAAATGGCTTCTTGGTGTTAAACAACACTTCTTGGTCGAGAATTTGACGCAACAACTGCAACATAAAAGTAGTTTACAATATGATAAAAACTGTAATGGGTTGTTTAATCATCACTTTCCATACAAATAGCAGTGACTCTCGTGGACAACATTTTGTTATGTGTCAAAAACCTTTAATGGACACAACTGGAAAGCAACTTGCAACATAACAAAACCCTTATTACACAACTACTTGTCAAGCACACAAGAAATACCTCATTGACTTCCTGAACACCATATTGATCTTGTGATGGTATACTAAGATCATCTATAAAGATATTTAAATTTTTCCCTCTCTTGGCTCCATACACAAAGCCTGCAGAATACAATAGCACCTTGTAGTACACCTACTATGCTGAATGACAGGTGTCATTAATGACTGTACCTTGTCTGTGGTGGATGTTATTTTCTACAAACGTTTGTAAATATACAGCTTTAGATGTCCCACTAAACACATACTGCTTGACAATGTGGTTCTTGTCCTCTGTGCGCAAAAACAGTAGTAAGTATATGAAATAGAGTCATGTATGACTTGACAACAGGTAACATGGATCTTTATGTTTTAGTAATAATGTTTATACTAGAATTTGTTATTAATCATTATTGTATGACATATATACCTTGCTTGTTTAAAAAGTCATTAATGAGTGAAGTCTTGCCACAACCATTTGGACCAGTAAGTAGGATGTTTCTACCAGATGCACTGGCTAAGTCCATAAACATCCTTGTACGAACCTGTACATAATCATCAGTGAATATATACCAACATGAAAGTATTACTTAAATTCTACATACCGTATCTATTGTCTCTACAAACACTTCCCCTAATAAATCAGCAGCATCAAGATAGCTCAGGTCAGGAACTCTGTAACATATGAATGATGGTGTTAGCTTTGAAAGAAGACTTTGTAAGAAGCAGTTAATGTGGATTATTGTTCTTACTTGGATTGCCAAGTATCCCATTCACCAGACTCATCTACATAGTAGTCAAATACTGATATCTCTTGATCATAGTCTGGTAATCTGAACACAAACATATATTACAATATGCAGCATGACAGGAGAATTTATAATATCACTTACGCTGTGGTCAGAGACAACAAGATTTCACTAAACTTCTTTTTGTCCTGCTCGTCAAGGTGACTGCCAAATGACCAAATAAGGGAAAAAAGAAATAGGCGCTCAATATGCAGCTCACCGCCAATGTCAGTGTTACCCTAATGATGAAAAAACAACAACATGAGTACATGATGCTATTTCCTGTAAGACAATATAATTGTATATAATTTTCAATGGAAAATACTATGGTTATATTATCATGTTTAAGTTGGTTAACATACCTCAATGAGGGCTTTGACCATAGCCAAACAAGTGTTAAACAAACCAACTTCACACACTTTCATACAAGGCCTGAAAAAGCACAATATCGTCAATAAAACACTGTGATGGAGTATCAGTGCATGTGTATAACTTACCTTGCTTCAAAACGAATAAACTGTGATATTGCATCCACTGTTTTATTGAAGACTCTTTGTAGGCACTAGAACACAATGATATTAAATACATAGCATGGTGGGATTAGGTAATAATCAAGTCAGGCTTACAATGGCTTCTTGTGGTGGTCTGTTTGATAGCCATGCTTCAGCTAGTGGTCTCCATCCCAGTGCACTTTCATCCATGAGCACTATTGCCTGCAATAAACAAAGTCAACAATGCAATTCTACTATAAAGAAAATACATTACAAACTTACTGTCCGTGCAACAGTTGCAGGAGAAGCATTAATCAGGTCATCAGTTTCAAACAACAGCTTTACATGTTCTGACAGGTACAACCTTTCACCATTCAGCAGATTGAGATACTATCATGTAAAAAAAAAGGATTATTACTGATCATTAAAATGACTATCAATACGAATCAATGCCTACCTGCCCTTTATCCAAAACACTGTTAAGTGTTTCAGCCCAGCCATGGTGTAAGGGAGCATCTAGACATATCCATGTAGTCATTTTATGTACACTATGATCCTTGTTAGCCTTTCTCCAATAACCTGTAAATATCCCATCTTCAAAGTCCCCATTGCTATTGATATTACCAAACATTAGAGTAGGGTCTGATACTCCTAGAGGATAGATTCTTTGTAGCTTGTGGTTGTGCATCGGCGACCCAGTATTCTTGTGTTTTATGTTAGAACACTCTGTTAGTGTATCAATCAAAGCGGATATACAAGATGACTTTCCTGTTCCAGGGGGCCCTGCCACTATTATACCTACGTGCAAAAAAAGAATAAGTTTACTAAACAAATCCAAGAGTCTTTTAACAGTTTCGAAGTTCTTCATGGGGTTTTCATAGATGGTTGGTGTTTCATAGATTTACAATTGGTTACAGAAGCTGATTGTTTGATCTGTAAACACAGCTACTGGTAAATAGATATGTAAACAAAGAATGCAAAGTATTACCATGGTATAACTTGGAGAGATTTCTCAATTGATTAATCTTGATAATCCATGGATGGTGTGCTACCAATCCATTCTCTTTAGTGTATTGAAACAACACCCCTTCAAAGTCTTCAACCTCTTTAGTCATGTGATAGGGTGGGGCAGGGAGCTTGGGTAGACCATAGAAGACATCACGCACTATTGCATTAAGGACATTCATTTCCTGGCAAAGTATATTGGAAATTATATCACCAAATAGAAATCAAAAAACATACTAAATACATATGCATGAGCCTTTATTATTAATTTCTCATCATTGACCACTTAAAATACTCATGTTTTAACCATTAAAGTAGTGCATACATCAGGTGTAAGTCTTGGTCCAATACACTCTATTATTGACTGTGCAATGAATGCATGTTCTAACTTTGCTGCTGGTGTTAATGCTGATGGTGTGTTGGGTTTCTTCTCCTTTTGTCCAAATGTTCTCTCTTTTCCTGTAAATCATAGTAAAAACTGCTACACAAACTTTGAATGAATCAATTATAATTACTTCCAATGTTGGTGAAATTCATGTTATCAATTTATTATTATATTTTGTTATGTACTTTAAATTTCAATTGTTATATTTTATTCCAATTAGTGATTATCGTCGTGATTATATAATTATTTTTTAACTGCAATGACATTTTCAGCTGGTTTAATTTAAGCAAATTATTCATAGTAATTTATATCTAAAGAAATATTAAATGTTTAGTAACCTATTGAGGCAATAAAACATGCAGCAATTTTTGTAGATGTCTTTATTCCTGGAAAAGGTAACAAAGGATTACATGGTTATCATCAACTGTTATATTGTCTTTTTATTCCTGGAAAAGATAATAAATGGTTACATGATTATGAAAAGATAACAAAGGTTAACATGGCCAGGAAAGATAATAAAAGGTTTCAAGGTTATCATTAATTGTTAGTTTAATCATTTGGCTACCTTTCAGTGTATTTTTAAAAAGGTTTTTTTACATACAGTGACTAATAAGTGACTAATAGAATCAAGTTAAATAATACTTTATATTTCCCTGCAATTGAATTGAATGAGTTGTAATATTTAACAACAATAAATAATAATAATACCAAAGACATCATATTCCAAGAAATGATAGATATAATGATGTGTTACGCATTGCAAGACATGGATGACTGGAATACCTGGTATGACAGACTGGGTACTAGATGGTCTTCCTGCAAATTCAGGTTGGTTTGTAGTAAGCTTACTTCCAATTGGTCCCTGAGCAATTCGCTTTTGACCAGCATGYTGAATAACACTGACCAGTGATAGGAGACTGAAATTGTGATGCATGGCTTTGCCHCTGAAATCAAGTGAAAATTGAAATATTCATCTACAAAAATGAAATAGAAGGTCTTACATGTATTTGGTACTTACAGCTGTCGAGCAGCAATATCAGAGACAAGCTTCAGCCGATCTGCAATCACTTTATGTGACTTGAAACCTTGACCAGCACAATGTGCTCGCAGTATAAGTGCTACATCAGGTGTAAGCATAGCAAAGGTACGGAACAAAGCCCTTACTTCAGGTGGTAGGTCTATTGTTTGATTAGTTGTTGAGACAGTCAAGAATACTGAAAAGTTAGGCCGCACATTGATCTGGTGGAGTGAAAAAAACAAAACAAAAACAGCCCTGTTTGTTAAAGCAAATGGTAAATCCATAATCTGGACCAATAATTATATTCTTACCTCTTTCCCATCATCAATTGTAGAAGTAGACAAGCCAGCTCTCATTGCCAACAGAATTGCCTGAATCTCATGTACCATTACTGATACTACATCTTGATTAACTTGTTGGAACTCATCTAACAGACCCCAGCAGCCCTCCTGCAATTATCGATAATGGTTTACTCAATCAAAAAACGTCCCTAAGTAAATAACTCAAACTCCTGTTATCCTATAATTATATATCACTTGTCTTACCTCAGCTAGGCCTACAATAACCTTGGCAATACCAGCAGTAGCCATTCCATTTGAACAACTCAATGTAACTAAATATCTTCCAAGTAGATATGCTAGTCCCTTTATAGTTTCTGTCTTTCCAGTGTCTGTTGCACCTTTCAGAGCACCACCATTAAAGCTCCAAATTGCCTAGTATATAAGCAATAATTGTAACTATTGCATTACTAACCTTATAAGATAATGGAGGGTCAGAAACTGTTGTGGTTTCATGACAGTTCTGTTGCAATAAGGGATTAATATAAAAATGATGTACCTGTGTTAATGTAAGGAAACATCTTTCAGTAGCTGGGGTTAGTGCTAGGCTGCCATCATTGCCATGGAATTCACAACCATATGGTAGCTGAGCATCAAGCATGTGGATAACAAATGGTTCACTGGACATTGGTTTGTCCACTACAGGCATTTGTGTGACTTCCCCTGTATCTTCTAAAGTGACAGCTGGTCCTGGAAACAAAATTTTTTGATCCCTCAAAATAATAGAAATAAAAATAAAATGTAAGCTATTAATTGTAACATACCAGAAGAAGTGTGATTGCTTGTATGGCCATAAAACCTAATGTTTCTCTTCCACTCAAAGTCAACTATATCTCTAAGCTTGCGCTTGGCAAGATCATCCAGAATATCTCTTAGATACATCCCTTGCTGCAAGATAACGTCACAATAAACAATGTGATCTTTACAACATGAACATTTTCACTAAAAACGTAAATGTGTTATATTTGATATCTCATCATATCGTGACAAGTCGCATACCGAGAGCATGGATTCTAGTCTCATCTTATGGTGTACTGGCATGGGACCTTCGCTGTGCTTCCAAGTTCCTCTGGTTAACAAGTTGGGTAATTTACTCAACCCTGACCAGAACCGCTTAGTAGCATTAGGCAATGCTTTCCTGTCTATTCTGATGTCAGCTATACCCTGTTAACAGTAAAACAAGCAAAACAGTAGTTCAGTTCTGATATTCATTATTGGTGGATAATGCTCAATTCATAGCAAAACAATAATATTATATAAGATACTATTAGTGAGAAACATACTGCTTCACATTCTCTAGTCCAAACATAAAGAAGACCAAGACGGCAGACTTGAGCAGGATACTACAAATAAAGTACCAGTTAGTTGGGGAAACAACAAGTTGAAGAACCAGAGAGGTAATAAGGAAAAACCATACCTTTCCAGACCATTCTTCAATACTCAATGATGCATCAATGTCTTTGATACAATCTTGAATATCAGAATACAGTGACTCGTTAATACTTCTTAGTAGACCTGACAACCAAACTTCTACACTTGATTTCAATGGAATCTGAAGTAAAGCATATTGAGAACATCATCACAAAATACGCTAAAAGTAGATGCAGTTCTGGTGCTGACCTGTGCCTTAAGCTGGACAGTCTCACCAAACTCAGAAGTAACAGCAGTTGCAGTACACTGTGGTACTGTATTCCTCCAGTCTCCATCACCTGAGCGCAACTCAAGGGAAGAGTTGACAACACTTGTACGGTGATCTGATTCCCTTATTGTTGCTTGTATATCTGGTGTTCTTAGAGACCTTCCTTCATCTTGTKATGATACAAATGATCCTCCCTCTTCACGGATCTTTTTACGCCACTTAGCTGCACTGGAAAGCAGCACATTGCGCTGCAGGTCATTCACATTTTCAGATTGTTTAAGTGTGACATCTCGAACACTTGAGAAGAGACATCTGAAAGACATGCATAACAAGAATAAACCAGGCACTCCTCTGATAAACATCTTTTAATCTGAGATTTGGTGACATAATTTCAGCTCCTGATATCTTTGCAATATAGTTTTGTTTCAGTCAAGTTTATATCACTTTATATCATACAAAATTAATCAGAGAGTTAGTTGTAAATGATTCAGATTACATAAATTTTTTTGCTGAACTTAATTGAGTCAGGTTTGGTCGAGGTATTAAATACATTATCCATAGCAATATTAAATTAATCTACCTTATGTAAGGTTTTACTGAATCAAGATTGTGTGGAATACTGAGAATAGCCAAGAGAACTGTATCTGTCACAAAACAAAACCTTGGAAAAACCTGGTAAAAGTATGATGATATGGTTAGCAAACACAATGCTGCCATAATTCAAAAGGATATTAACTTTTAAGTGTGTTTTGAATAATGTTCATCAACTTCAGTAGTAACACTTATAATAATAAAAACATGCTTACTTACTTTTCTCTTAGAGTCAAGAAATCCAACAAGGGACTTGAAGCAAATCTCAAGTTCCTCATGCAAATGTTTCAGCATTTGAATTTTGGGAACATCTCCACCAACACAGCACTAAACACAGTCATATTACAGTAAACATAGTAAGCAATTATTATAAAACTCTCCTAACAGCAGAGCAATACTTACCTGTAAAACATTCTTGGTTTCATATGCTCTTTTCATCATCTTCATGTAGCTTTTATCAACTCTTGCAAAACGGTTGTACTCCTGAGGTAGCTCCTACAATTGTCAACATTATAGATATAAGAAAGTATAACATATGAAAGGGCAATAAATCCTAAGGTACAAGATGGGATGAAGAAAAACAATGATTAACCCTAAGGTCCAGGATGGGATGAAGAAAAACAGTGATTAACCCTAAGGTACAGGAAAGGATGAAGAAAAACGTTGTTAGGGTGAGAGGTATTGAGAGGTGCAATAGCAAGATGATAGCCTCTTCAATATATTATTAAAATGTCCCTGTCAAGGAAACTAAATACAGTATCTAGTAGCATTAAACAAGTGTACCTTTGCTGTTGAACTGTTGCTGAATACTTCTTCCAAATGTTTCCAAAGATCTTGAACTGTCAACCACTAT